GTCGGACGGTTTCTTGAAAGGGCACGGGATTTCTAGAGCAAGCCTGGGTCTGGGCGGACAAACCACGTTGCACTGCAGTGCTTCATGAGCAGGACTATCTAGAGTAAGTGCAGCCACGACCAAATTGTAGGTCATTTCGGGACTCTGACAACTCATGCCGCACTCTTGATTTTTTTCACGAGTCATGAGTAGTGCAGCGAGGCTCTAGATGACTTCGGCCGACGGTCCCTAACAGCTCGTGAAACACATTTTCACGAGCGACAAGGCAAGAGTAGTGCAGCGGTGACATCTCTTGACAGTAACGTCTGACAGCTCTTGATGTGTTTTGTGACGGCCAAATTCACGAGTCGTGCAGCGATGAGCAGCTCCTGAAAAAGCACATTTCATGAGTAGTGCAGCGAGGCCCTTGATCTACGCTTGAATTTTTTTGTGAATCAAGTGTAGCGCAGCAAGGCCCTTAGTCTACCACTTTCACGGATGTATATGATCGCTTTCGCGACCCGGCCAGGATGCACCTGAGGGCTAATAGACGTCCACCCAAATGCCTCGTTTGTCCACCTCTACTCGAAGTGGACTCTCGGAAAAAGAGGCCATAACAGGGTTAGGAGTCTTAGGACCAGCCACGTTTTTCTGCACACTTCTTCTTCTTTTTTTTTTTCTTTTTTTTTTTAACAAGAAACTCTGCCCATTCTTATACTAAAAAAGGGGGAGGCCGCCGGGAATCCCTCCACAAACAACCCGGAAAGCAAAATACACAATACTGGGACCATTACCCAGCTTTGGTGCAGGCGTTGGGAATTTTAGTCCAGTCACTGTATGGCCAAATCAGGACCGCTGTGATGACATTTCCCAACCCTGGGAAGAAACAACCATTATGCCCTCACGGCCCGCCAAACCAAACAAACATAAAATGAAGCTTGTCCACAAATAAAATCATTTCACTACGGTAACCTAACCTATGTATCTACAGTATAACTCTATCTGATGCAATGCCTCCTTTCCCTACTTTCCAACCGCCCCTAAGCCGGGTTTAAACAAAGAGAAGTCAGTCTGAGATCCCTGTTATTACTAGCGACTCCTTCCACAGAACTCCCTCAGCTCCATCCTCCGGTCTGCCTACCTCCTGCCGCCCTACCCTTCAACCGAGTGTCAGGTTGTTACTGCAAAATAAAGCAAAACTAAAACATAAAACAAAATCCAACTACAGTTACTACACAACTACATCAACAGATAAAGTTCAAAAGGATAGAAGAGGAACCAATCTGGTCCCACACAAAGATACGCTAAACCTAAGAACCAACAGCCGACTACAAGCATGCACGGCTTTCAGCTGCTACCACCGTCCCTCTCAACTGCCGAAGATTAATCTTGGAACCACCAAACGTGAATGCACAACTGCATGTTGTCTAAAATCTTACAGAGGTGGCTGCTCCGAGCCCATGTTTGTTTTAACCAATTGATTTATGTACGAGAACTTTGTGACATAGTCACTTTCCGTTGCCAGTCCGCTTGGATGGCTGGCGAATTTGGGACTTGATTGTTCTTCTGATCTGCCGATTGGTGAGGTCTGTTCCCTGGAAAGTTCGTTGATTCCTTTCTTGCCAGATGACATTGAAGCAGACAGCTCGGGTTTGTTTGGGCCATGTAGCCCCACCCTCTGGTTTTCTGTACCCCGATAGAGACGGCTCCCAGAAGCGTCCATTCCCTTGTCCATTCAAATGCTGGTCCAGAGATGCCGTCCCTGTGTTTTTGCCACCATTTCTAGAGATTCGGGCTGAAACAGGACAATCCTACCATAAGTGGATTGTTGATTCAAACGCCCAGGTGCACTGAGACGCAGTGTCATACCACGTTCGGCAAGCCATTCTGCTGAAGGGGTAGCTACTAAGGAGACCAACCACAATAGAGAAGCATGTCTTTGGTTAGCTATCATCTTCAATTGAGACCAGCAGACCCTAAGAGCTTTGTCTATCTCATGAGCAGGAACATCGATTAACTGCATCCATCTGACTCTTGCTACGACTTGTGGACTTTTCAAAGGGGAAAGCACAGCATAACCATTTTTTGTCGAGTAATCAGCTATTGAAGCATTCATTCATCTTTTGTCTACAATAGACCACTCCCATAGGGCAGGGTCCAGTCTCAATTTAAGAACGGATGTCCCGTTTGGCTGTAATTGATATCGAGGAGCATCATCGGGGATCTCCGAGGCTCGAACTCTTACGTGTTGCACCTGCGTTCCCAATGGGGGTTGGTTATTACCCTCCAGGCCTCCTCTTATCTGCAGCAATTCATTGTGCACCTTCCAACATTCAAACTCCCTTTTTCCATCAATGGCAATTGCCGAAAGTTTCCATACCACATCTGTAGTGGATTGATCTCCTGAAAACCATGTTCCCGGGGGGTATATCCCCGCCGCGGCAAGCAGGTATTTCCATTTTGGGGAATTGCTTCAATCAGGGCTTTTCTCCGCTCCTCCACCAATCACAACTGACCCAATACTGTTCCGCATGGCAACATCAGTTTTCCAGTTGCCCAGTATGAGGTCCCATAAGTCCTGAATTCTCAGCACCCCCCTTTCGATCCAAGAGCGACCGAAACTGGATGTAGCTGAGTCTGCATAAAACCAGTTTCCTGAGCCATCCCTGATGTGTGTGTTCCAGGCGTTTGGACGAATCTTTTTCCAGGCACTAATTATCGGTGCACAGAAAGGAGATTTTATATGTCTTCGTTGATATGAGTGCAGCAACAAGCATGTCCAAACATGTGTTGGACGGGGTAGGTTCCATTCTCGTGACAAAATCTGTTCGGCTAGATGCACCCAGTGGGTTGCTGGGTAGGTCTGGCTAGCCCGAGTAATCCATTGGCATAACATTCCAGAGTTCTGACGATGAGGGTCCAAAATTCCTAGGCCCCATTCGTTACGGGGAGCACACAGAATTTCACAGGTGATCTTTGAAATGAAGGAATCGCCTTCCTCTGCGAATGGTTTCCAAATAAATTTAGCAGCCTGATTGCACACAGTTGTGAGCCTAATCCACTAACTCTGCCAACAAACCATAACAGGGCAAATAGGGCTCCTTTGATCACCATGGCTCTGCATAGATGGAGAGGTGTCATGCTTTTGCCCATGAGGTTCATACATTTTTTATTTTTTGGGCGAAATTGAAACTGAGTTTTTTGGCCAAAAACTCGTCAAAATTTGTTGTTCTTGAGAATGTTGGACCCCCTGACTGTACATGGACCTGGCTTGAGACCAGGCACCTCCAGGCAGGACTGCTTGGAGGTACCTAGTCTCAAGCTAGGTCCATGTACAGCCAGGGGGTCCACCGTTTTACAAACGCCGAACCCTCAGGAACAACAAATTTTGATGAGTTTTCGACCAAAAAACTCGGTTTCAATTTCGTTCAAAAAATAAAAGATGTCCATTTTGACGAAATGGCAGTTACGGCATGCTGGACGGCATGGAGAACTCTCCAACCTCTGCAATCAAAGCCGCCCACAACTCGTGAGGAAGTGAAGCAACAGAACCTCTTCGATAACCAAACCATTCTCGACAACTGCGACCAACCATTCCATGCAACCAGAACTCCAGGGGCATTTGGTAGAGCATGGACCGAGAGGGGAATCACACGTATTGAAGACRTCTRGGAAGAAGAGAACCATGACTGGATAGCCGAAGAACAACTGAAGCCAAAATTGCGCCACTTACCTCACGTGTCACAGCGGAGACAGCAACTCATCCAAGCCATACCCCAGGACTGGACCTCCCTATTGCAAGCAACCGACCCAGTCCCTTGGGAGTGGTATGTTACAAAACACACAGGCGAAGATGAGGAGTGTATCGTGCAGATTACACAGAACCTGGGCGAGGATCTCCKGSTGGCAAACCAGTGGACAAGGCAGGAAGTACCTGGGAAGCTCCAAAGACATACAGCGCCTACAGAAGTGTGCAAGGATGCTCAACAACCCTTCCAGCTCATCAGAGTCCGCTCCACGACACAAGAGTCCCGGATCCCAGTCCACCTGCTTTTAATGGATGGTAAACCACTCAGCAGCTTAAAGATCGACCCTATGGGCCACAGTTGGTTGCTTCCAAGAGATCTACGTATTCTGTTATCTCAATATTCATCCAGGCTAGGCAGACAGATCATGACAAAGGATCCTGACCTTCCAGAGGTGGCGGCCAGAAAACTCAGCAGATTATTACAGACGCACTCCTCCTTGGAGCCCCGGGACCTGATACAGTTGTGGGATCAGTTAAAAACACTGCCCTCTCAAAAGCCCGCAGCCCTCTCATGGTTGCTCTCGCACACAACCATCCCTTGTGTGGTCTGGCTTTTTGAAAAGGTCATGGACCTTCTTACCAAATGTCCCAGATGCGGGGGCCATGCCGAGGAGTCGTTGGAGCACCTCTTCCGGGCTTGCCCAACCTCTCGCAGACTGTGGAACTGGTGGGGCAATCATTGGGCTAGCTTCGTGGGGGATATTCTCTCCTAGGATGAGAAATGGGCACTCCACGGGAAGCTTCCGTCTTCCTGGTTTAAGCACGTCAGGAGAGGCTACGTGGCCCAGGCTATCTGTTTTACTTTGCTCTGGATCATTTGGGAGGACAGGAACAACATCCTGTTCAGGCAAGAGTGGACCTGTGACGCCGCTATTATCAGCAAAGTCAAGGCCTGGATCAGGATGATGATCAGGGTTGACTGGATCAGGAAAGCCCGAAGGGGCAACACGCCAAGGGGCAAGCATTGGTTCCTGGTTACTTGGGCCCGGGACAACAAGTTGGCCGTCGTAACTCTCACTGGGCAACTGGTTATCTCGCCGTGGCTTAATGCTTAGTTCATATAGAATTGTCCCCTCTAGACTTCAGTTTGGATGTTCCTGCTAACCTTC